TTTTTTTTTTTGCTGCCTTGACTTTCTGTAACAATATACCTAATCAAGAGAAAGTCGTTTGTTTCTAGTTTAATTACCTTTGTATTAAGTGGAACAAGTAATTATGGAAACATATTTCGTGGCCTTTAATTTGGAAGGGGAGGTTATGGGAGGGGGGGAAGAATGCTATCTCGTGGTGCTTGAAAGCAAAAATGTAACACTTCCTGAGATCATTATTTTGAGATCTAAACAAGGAAGTTGTATTGTCATAGGCAAAGAATACCATTGAGCTGTTACTTGGGTCAAATGCAGTCAAAGAAATTTTCCTTCCTGGTTAACGATGAGGAAAATGAGATGGTTTGGTTTTATAATTTTATTTTATTTTTGGGATGGGGAATCCATAATTCATTTGGGTACAGCAAGATTCAAATATTATGTCTGGGAATGATGTTCTTCATCTCTGTAGGGAAGAGGCTGGCTGTGTGCTCTGAATTGTATAGGTGGCTGTCATAATGATAGGTGGAACCTTGTGGTCATTTAAATTCTTACCTGCAAGGGAAGAACCTTGGCAAAGACAGAAATAAGCCATTTGTTAATCAAAGGTGTTATTGTGAAAAGGTTAGAAGTTGCTTATACTAAATTGCCCACTCTATTCTCAGATTGAGGAGTTGCACAAAATAAGCAGTGTTCTAGCCAGTTATTTTTCAGGAGTCAGCTTAAAACCAGTCAAACAGAAAAACAACTTTTCTCAGTTGTTCTCAGTGAGATAAAACTGGATGATGAGAGAGAATAATTGAGGTTAGTTTTCAGTCTGCTTTGAGACATATCTACTCTGGATTTACACTTTCATGCATTAACTATGTACCCCAAAGTGGGAACACAGCAAGATTTTTTTTTTTGGAGAATGGAAGTAAATTACTTAAGAATAAAACTTGCTGTTTTGTCAAATTATGGAAACAAGGCTTTTTTGATATCTGAATATTTTCTTCAGATGGTCTTGGTGGTATTGGCATGGGATTAGGACCTGGAGGTCAACCTATTGATGCAAATCATTTAAACAAAGGCATGGGAATGGGCAACATGGGACCTGGAGGTAAGAAGATTACTCCTATGCTTTGTTTCATGAGAGCTTTAAGCTATGTAGAGGGTAGATAGCTTTGTTTTGCCTACAAAAAAAGTTGAAGTGTATTAGGAGTGTTAAAGCCAAATGAAACTTTATTGAGCTAAGTAATGAGCTTGATAATGGAAACTTGAACTTAACAGCTCCATTTTTGTTTTTTAATCATGGTCAAGGCGCAGCTCTCATTTTCTGACTCTTGAGCATGAGCAGCAGACACTGCAAATATACATTAAACTTTTAAAACCATCTGTTACTCTTAATACTTGTTAGTGGGCTTGCAAATCTCTGTTTAGGGTATGTTTAAACAGAAAAAGTTTTAAAGAGCCACCTAAAAAGTAGCACACATTCAGCTTTCAGTTTATAAATGCCTATGGGGTTTTTTTCCACTTATTGCTTTTATTTGTTGAGAAGGAACGTTTCAATCTACTCAGAGCTATCAAATGTAAACTTCAGTTGAGTGGATGTGCTGTATGATCTGTATTTCTACAGCCAGTCTAATGGCTGATGCTTTGTAGAATTACATCTGCTATATAAAGCTTTCTCTTTTATTTTGAGGAATGGGAATGGAAGGCATGGGATTTGGAATGAATAAAATGGGAGGTAAGCTGTGTTTTTTGAAATATATATAGCTTGGGTTTTTTGAAAGCCATGTAAACTTAGCCACGTATAACTATCAGGCATTTGTGTTCTCTGTGAAATAGTCACCCATATTTAGTAAACCCGCGTTCATTTTGGGGTATATTAAAAGCAACTGCTGTAGGTGTATGAAGAAGGATGAAACCTCAGAGTAAACATGAGCATGGTTTGGGCACTCTTAAGCCTGACATTGGCTTAGGAAATAAGGTGTGATCAAATTCTGACTGAATTTTGTGAATCTGTCACACAGAGTTGTCTTGATGTCTGTGAAAAGCTTATTTTGGGGAGATGTAGTGTTAAGATGAAATGCATTGCTAAAGAATCCCTGGAAAATACTTTCTTCTAGGAATGGAAGGTCCTTTTGGTGGCATGGAAAACATTGGTCGCTTTCCAGCTGGAATGAACATGGGCAGAATGAGTGGTAGGAACTGGGTTATTTATTTCTCACCATTATTACTTAGCACGCTGCTGAGTTTGACAGAAGTCCTTTTGTTTTCTGAAACAGTAGTAATGGAGACTGGTTATTTTCCTCTTCCCAGCTTTTAGTGGAAAAACTTAAGATTTACGTGTGATGCAGTGTCTGCAAGGCCCTTGTTGCCTCTAATCTACAAAAAAAACTACTGAGGTTTCCTTGAACAAGATGAACTGTGTTCTGTCTGTATTCACCAGAAAGATTCCTCTAGAGCAAAGCATCTGCCTTGTCTGCATTTAAATGGATTTATGTTGTTTGTCAGTTGTGTTTTTGTCTTGGAAAGACAAGATGAAATAATTAGGAGGACACAGTAGATGTTTCCTTTGCTGTTAACCTTCAAAAATTATGCCTGCATTAAAATGTTCAGTCAAAAGTTGTTCAGGTGCCCTGAAGAACATAATCAAACTTGATCTTTACAGAGATGGATCGTGCCATGGGTGGAGGATTTGAGAGAGAATTTGGAAGAAATGAAATGGGAATGTCTCGTAGTTTTGGAGAGACCTTGGAAAGAGGAATAGGTCAGTATATGAAGCAAGTACATGTACTTTCTCCTGGAAATAGTTGAACTGTGCATGAAAATAGTGCTTTTTCAATAACAAAAAAGAGCATATTTTGTAAATAGCTGCTCTAATACTTCATTTTTTTTATCAGACAGTATATATGACAGTAGTAATCTGTGAGTTCTGTAATGGGATTTCTAATGGAACAGAGAACATTTGATGGTCTTACATGCTACTTGGTGACTTTTTGTGTTAAATTTTCTTATATGCGTGTGGCAATTCTGACTGATGTGAGACCTAAGCTTATAATGCAGCCTGCAGCCTACCCAGTAGATAAGAAAAATGTGGTGTAACCTTTGTTTCTTTAGCAGAAATTTTAGAAATCACACAGTGAAATGTAATGCAGCATTGCTGATAGAACTGAGATGTCTCTTTATAAAGGTCTTTAATGTAAAGAAGGGCAATCTTTTTATCAAAGTGATTAAAAAAAGCTTAATGACTGAATGATAGCACTTGAATAACCAGGACTTGTCTCTGCCTAACAGCATGGGGTTAGTGCTTTTCTCAGTCTCTAAAGCTAAATGAAGAACACTTATGTCTTTCAGCTGAAAGACATACTGTATGATTACTGCTTTCACTTCCCAAAAAACTTAAATATATATTTCTTGAACAAGTAATAAATGTCACGCAAGTCAAACCCATTCTTTCTTATTTAAGATACTACTGAAACAAAAATATAGAAGCCAGAATTAGATGCCTTGTTTCTCTTCAGTAAATATATTTAGAGCGTTTAAGTAGATAGCTTCTTCAAGGCTTTTTCTCTTCAAATCAAACTCAAGGTTTTCTTGTTTCTTTGCTTTGTTTATTTGTTTGTTTATTTGTTTTACGTTTGTTTCTGAAGTGCTGTAGTGTTAAACTCAATAGATAAGATGGTTTGTACAATATAGGCACTTCTCCTAAAGGATGGGAGACCAAGCCTTTTACTGCTGGAACTAGAAGACTCTGTAGGTTAGTCAGGACAACTCAACCAAGGAATTTTATGAAGCAAATCTAGATAATGTATTCTTGCTTCTGTTTTATGACATAAGACAGCCTTTTCATACTTTCCACACTAAAAGGCTGCGTGTGCTTTATGAAGCCGTACTGCAGGATTCTTGTGTGGAGTTTGCTTTTTTTTCCTCCCCCCCAGTGCATTTGTAAATTTTAGCTGCCAGCTAAAATTTAAATACTACCTTTTGCCAGCTGATCTCCCAAGTATGCATATGCCTTAAAACTTTTCTCCTTCTGTGTGTCCTGGTTTTCACTCTTACACATAGTTACATAACTTACACTAGTGTAAGTTAGAGTATTCATTAAGGATAAACTTCTCTCTGCCCAGCTGTAGCACATAGTCTAACAGGCTCATCGGTCTCCCAGAATGTGTTGCAGTCACAGTAACCTGAATCATCAGTGACAGTTATTCTTCCTGTCTGAAATAACTACTTCATATTCTACAGCAACACACACATCATGATGTCATTTTTTGATTCAGTTTGTTAGTCTGTGTATGACTATTGATAACTTGTATGTTTTGTTGCAGGTGGTGGAAATGCCAGCATTCCTGGGATTGAGAGGATGGCTCCTGGCATTGATCGTATGGGCTCGGGAATAGAAAGAATACCTTCTGGGATGGGTCATGGGATGGAGAGAGTAGGGTCAGAAATAGACAGGATGGGTCTTGTTTTGGATCGCATGAGTTCCAATGTGGATCGAATCGGTTCTGGAATTGACCGAATGGCCCCTCTGGGCATAGATCACATTGCTCCTAACATTGAGAGGATGGGACCAGCTATTGAGAGAATGGGTTCCGGCATAGAAAGAATGGGTTCTGGAATAGGCTTTGGTATTGAGAGAATGGGTGCTGCCATTGATCGTGTTGGTACTACTATGGATAGAATGGGATCAGGTGTAGAACGTATGGGCTCTGGCATGGATAGAATGGGTATAGGTATGGAGCGTATGGTCCCTGCTGGAATGGGAACTGGAATGGGTCAGGTCATAGAGAGAATGCCAGCTGGCTTGGATCGCATAGGTGCCACTCCTATGGAAAGAATAGGAATAGATCGTATGGGTGCTGCTAGCATGGAGAGAATGGGCTTGGAGCGCATTGGAGCCACTAATATGGAAAGAATGGGTCCTGCCATGGGGCAGGGCATGGGAGCAGGCATAGATCGCATGGGACTTGCAATGGGAAGCAATTTTGAAAGAACAATGGAAATGGAACGTGGAAACTTTGCAGGCAATTTTGCAGGCTCCCTTGGAGGAACTGGAGGACCTGCAGCTGGGGTGGCCAGAAAAGCTTGTCAGATATTTGTGAGAAATGTGAGTAGCCGCCTTCTTATTTGTGTTGATCTCATTTGTGTTCTGTTGACTTCTGTTACAATATTTAATATTGGATGGTGCTAGAGGATTAAGTAGACCATTGTGATTGGGAGATATTTCCTTAGCAGGAGAACAGCTTCCTGCATCTGTAAATAAATATGTTCAAGTGCGGCTGCCCTGGGATGGAAAGCTTTTGAAGAGCTTGCAGTACTCACAGGTCATTTAACAGATCTTCAGTAATTGTTCTTCTCTTTTTCACAGCTGCCCTTTGATTTTACATGGAAAATGCTGAAAGATAAATTTAATGAATGTGGTAAGTTATAAATTATATCACTGTCGATCTTTATTGATAGCTGTGTGAGACAGGAACTACTTTTCTGTCACAGACACCAGTACCTCAACTAAAGTTTCCCTCAGACCTGGAAGTACTAAATCTCAGTGTTGACAGGTGTTTTGGGAATGTTTACTATCCTGCCTTGCCCAGAAGAGTTCTACAGTGTTCAGAAGAAATGTTTTTATTGGCCAGTTGATAACCCAGTCAGTGCATACTCTTTCTCAGCTTGCTACTCAATTTAGGCTCCTCTCTACCTCATGGGCTGGGCTTACCATGTGGATAGCCGCTCTGTGGTTAGAGAAAGAAATGGGTGTGGAAATCCAGGATGAACTATGAGGTTCATTTCTATAGCAAAAAGCTAATGACTAATGAAAAGTATTGGTACAGATGTTTTACATTTGAGTGAACATAGTTGGTTTGGGGAAACTGTCCTTAAAAAGATGTTCAGAAATTAATAATAGTAGTAATAAAAGAGAAACAAATCAAGTAGCTAAAAGGATTGCTAAATATTGTTGGATGTGGGCTGTTCTGCTTCTGGGGATTTCTCTTGGCAGTAGCTACTATCCCCTCACCTTGTTCCCTAATACTGTTTGCCAAGTGCCAGCTCTTAGCAGTTATGATGTGAATTAATGTTTGCAAGTTGGGCAGGGCTCATTAGCTTTGCTCCATTCATCTACTTCTGATGCATCATGCTTGAGGGAGAATTGACAGAACAAATTTGAATCGATTCATACTTTAAACTGAGAACACTCCTTTAAAAAGAAAAAGACCATCCTGTAGCTTTAAGTTTCAAAGTAACGGTAGTTTGTGAAGGTGTGCTTTCTGTGGTTTGAGGCAGAGGACTGTGAATTGATAGTTACGTGGTACGTACTAGTTAAAATGAGAACCTTTCTTTTCTTTTGAAGGCCACGTGCTGTATGCTGATATCAAGATGGAGAACGGGAAATCGAAAGGATGTGGTGTGGTTAGATTTGAGTCCCCAGAAGTAGCTGAGAGAGCCTGCCGCATGATGAATGGGATTCAGCTCCGTGGGAGGGAGATAGATGTGCGAATCGATAGAAATGCTTAAGTAGTTGCTTTTTTAACACTGATACCAGATTTTTGAATTTGTATTTTTCTTGTTAACCATTTTAATTTGACTGGATGTAAAGGTGTTAAAATGATTCAGTTGCTTTCTGGAGTAATTTTAATTACTTTTTTAACAAATGGATTTCCATTTTACTGTTTTTTGCATTGAAACTGCAATGTGCACAATCTTTTTTTGTAGTTGTGGCATCTTGTTGACATTACAGATGTAAACAGTATGACTTTGATAATAAATGCAAATTAAAGATTTCAGTCATTGCATCCATTACTGGCAGCATATCCTGTGCTTGCAAAACTATCTGTAAACTGAGCTCAGTAAAACTAGAATTCGTTTTCTCCTGTGAAGTGTCAAGCAAGAATGTTCCTTTTGGTTGTCAGTTTGTGCCAGACTTGAAATTGATGCACTTGCCCATCCGTGTTAGTACTTAATGTCATTGGCATATGGGAGACTTTGGATTCCCCCTTCAGACCTAGATGACCACTCTTTGCAGGAATACTGGGGCTGATTTTTCTACAGTGGCAATGCTGATTTTATAAAATAAAGCATCCTGCACCTTTGGTTGTGTCAGTGCTATTCTGAGGTCTGAACTGAAAGTGGATTTAAAAACCACGTGCTTATTTTTTCCTAATGTGGGCTTCAGCAGGAGCTGCACACACTGCAGAGGCAGGAGCTGGGACAGTAACAGGATATCAGCTGTTGTGGGCTTTGTTCTGTACTTTATTGGCTCAGAGGCAGAAATACTGAGAAAGTGAAGAGTAAGGACCACTACTTTTTGTGTTGCTCTAAGGTATTACTTAAGCTGTAATCCTATCAGAAAAGATTAGAAAGCAAGTTGGAGTGTAATTTTATGGTTGCTGTTAAACTAAAGCCTTTCAAACTGGTCCTGTGGTGGAAGCACCCTTCTGTGCTCTGCTTTTTGCTATTCCTGAATTGCAGTGCAAGGAGCAGAGCGGCCACAAGTGGGAAAAAGTCCTGCAGTGAGATGGGCTGTGACTGAGGGGGGAATCGCTCCGGACCTGCAGGGCGCTTTCCCCCGACGTTTCCAAGTAATGCACTCCAGGAACGCCTTCAGGACAATACGCCTCCAACTACTGCGCGATTTTCGATTTGCTTGCTTAATCATAAGGAGTCCCCGTCCTTTCCAGCAGCTCCTGCTGTCCGTCCGCGGAGGGTCACACTGCCGACACTGCTTACACCGACGCGTAGCGAAACCGCCGCACTTCCGCCCTTGGAAGCGCCTCGCACTCCCCGTGCGGAAGTGACGTCAGTACAGCGCGACGGTGGCGTCGCTGCCTCGCGCCACGCGACGGTCACACGCTCAGTTCTCAAAATGGCGGCGGCGGCGGCTGGTAGCTGCCGGGTGAGCGCGGGGCGCGGGCGCTGCGTTCTCTCAGGGCCGGTTCTGCGGATCTCGGGTGCGCCGCGAGACTGAGATGGGGCAGCGGGAGCCGCCGCCGGGGCGGGGGGCTGGAGGAGCCCGGAGAGCGTCGGGGCCGGCGCGGTGTGGGGCGGGGCCGCCTCCTCCCGCTTTTCAGCCCTTCTACCGCTCGGGGCTTCGGCCCGCGGGGTCTGCTGTCCCCTTCCGCGCCCTCAGCCGCACCGCTGGTTTCCCTCAGAGGCAGCACAGCGACCTGAGCTGCGAGTAAAGCCAAGCGGGGGGACGGAGTCTGCTTAGTCTGTGTCTGGCTTTTTGCTCCCGGAGGCTCTGGGTTCTGCGGAGCACCTCGGCTGTCTCAGTGTGGAAAGTGCGTTGCCCTGTCTTGGGCTGCGATTTTGGTTTTTTGAAAGCGAACGTTTCAGTGGTTGCAGCGCTACTCAGACGCGTTAACAAAGCTTTATGGATGATCCCAAGCACGATCATGACCTGATTGGGTTTCTCAGCAGCACTCTGAATCTGCTCCCAGTGGTGACTGTCCATTTTCAGGATACTTGCCTTCCTTTCTTGTCTCTTCAGGACTGCTGTCATATCACATTGTGTGCTAACTGGAACTTGTTTTTGTTGCAGAAATGTCTTATTAGTGGCTTGTGGCTTATGCCTAGAAGATACCCAGTTCCTGCAGTCCACAGTGGTGCTGTGTACAGAGCGAGCAGGCCTGTCTCAGAGATCAACCAGGTTGGCTAATGACTGAATGTTGTACTACAGGCTGAATCTGGTTTCCCACTAGAATACTGTATCTGCCGGATGTGTTCCCAAGCAGCAGCAGCAGTTCCAAACTGAAAGTTTTACCTTTTCATGATTCATGTGATAAATTCAAGGAATTTTGTAGAGCTGAATTGAAGTGACAGGGGTCAGGAGTTGTGCTCTGCTTACCAGACTGTTTCAAGCCTGGTTAGTGTCAAACTGCCTGTTAATGGGTACTTAGATGTATTGTATGTTGCCAGAACAGTTACTACCTTAGAAGTGATTTAGTACTGGGCTGAAGTAAATCTTTCTGCTGGCTTTGATACTTACTTAATTTTTTTTTGGATTCTGCAACATGTAATGACTTTTTTTAGTCTAGATGTTACTCTTCAGGAGGAAGAAAAGGTTTTATATCGGGTTTTGTGGAGAATATCAAGCAAGAATTAGCAAAAAACAAAGAGATGAAAGAAAGTATTAAAAAGTTCCGAGATGAAGCTAAAAAGCTCGAAGAGTCTGATGCACTTCGAGAAGCAAGGAGGAAATATGTAAGTCTTTCTCATGAATTCCTTTTACATTTTCACTGCCTATTTGCTAAGCTAGTTCTGTTTTTAATGTTAAATTTATATACAAATGAACTATTTAGTGGTTAGCATGCCTATTTTTATGAGAAGTTCTGCTTGGCTGGAAGTACTGACAGGTAAATGGTTGACCTAGAGTGTTTTTTTTCTAGTGGAAATCCTCCCAGCAGGCTGCTAACTGGACTCCCCAGTTGACGAGCTGATAAAATTTGGGGATGTTAAATTTAATGTTCACAGTGTTTGTTTAAATAGTTCTTTTGCATTCTTTGAAGACTATTAAATGGCATTACTCACAGTAATTAAATGCTTGTGTTGGTTACTCAATTAGCGTTAACTCAAAAATAGATTTTTATCCAATTGAGAATGTATTATATTCTGATTTTTTTTTCATTTGCCAAAAGTGCTAGGAAGAGGGATAAATCAATTAATTCTATTTAGGCCTGAGCCCTAATTAGCTTGTTTTTTTTTTTGCTCTAAATTAGCGTTAATAGGATATTCTGTGCCCTAAGGTATTTTTGAATGAGTATCTTCTGTCCTTATCACTACATCCATCATGGTTTCTTTTTTTCCACAGAAAACCATTGAATCTGAAACAGTGAAGACCTCAGAAGTAATTAAAAAGAAACTTGAAGAAATAACTGGTACAGTTAAAGAGGTAAAACATAGTTGTGGAATCACCTTTTTTTTTTTTTAAGAGAGCTCATCTCTGAGGTTTTGTATGTATTTGAATTATCATCTTGTTTTTCTTGAAGCCAGGTAGTTGCTATTTCAAAGGTTATCACTTTTGCAGATCGTAAAAGATAGAGCTGTTATCAAAGCTGCAGCCATTAACATATGACAGATTTCTTAGTTGTTGTATGTTGTGTAGGAGAGTATCTAGCAGCTCCTTTCACATTTGAAGGTTGAAGATGGTGCATATGGTTCTTTTATTCTTTAGCACTTACGAAAGAGGATGATTGTATCTATGCAGATTGATTTTTAAGCAATTAAGCAAGTTCTCTTTAGGGTGGGACCAAGCACTGAAAGTTAATGAGCATAACTTCATTTCTTGTTACGTATTGAGCTTGTCCAGGCATCAGATGTTTTGGAGTGGTTGCTACACTTTGAGTTCTGTCTCTTCAGTAAATCTCTGTGGAATTTTCATTATAGTATTTTAAATATGGAAAAAAGTTAGGTGTGCCCTAGATCCTGGCTCTGGTAAACACAGCTTAAGTGATACATAGGAATATGTTAGATTGAGAAATGCATTTGCTGTTTCTACAAGAAGATTTGAATAGCAGAGAGTATCTCAACCTCTGCTATGTCTTCTCTTAAGAAGTAGTAAATGATTGTTTTAAAGGAAAGCACTGGAATGTTTTAACTCTGGCATCAACGGTCCTTCTCTTTGAGGTCAGGAAAAACAGTTTTTGTATGTATGAGTAGGCAGCTATTACAAATGTGTTTGTGACTGTGAGCAGCCAGAATTGTTCTGTGCAGAGGTGTTGGCTGTGTGAGTTTCAGTGCCAAGCCATTGTGTCCCAGTTAATCTCTCCTGTGACATATAAACTGTGTGTTCACCGTAGGATTGCTTAGCCCTATTGCATTTAGGTCTTTAGCATTCTTGAGAAAGGCTTATACAAAATGTGCTTTCACCTGTGTTTTTACAATTTTCTTCTTTATTCTCTTCCAGAGTTTGGATGAAGTAAGTAAGAGTGATATTGGCCGTAAGATAAAAGAAGGTGTGGAAGAAGCAGCAAAAACAGCAAAGCAGTCAGCCGAGTCAGTAACAAAAGGAGGAGAGAAATTAGGCAAGACAGCAGCCTTCAAAGCTATTTCTCAGGTACACCTCTCTCTTCATTCTGGGACCTAGTGCTGCAGACACAGATCATCTGAACTTGTGCTAAATATAAAATTAGATACTGTGCTCTTATAACTTCAATACAACCATCAGCTCGCTGTCCCAGACATAACTGGTTAAGTAGAAAGCCTTGGTACTGCTGTCTCTATACATACATATCAGTAAAGAAGCATTTGTGTCACCACCCTCTAACCTTTGTTAGGTGAAGCACTGGAACGGGTTGCCCAAGGAGGCTGTGGATGCCCCATCCTTGGAGGCATTCAAGGCCAGGCTGGACGTGGCTCTGGGCAGCCTGGTCTGGTGGTTGGCGACCCTGCACACAGCAGGGGGGTTGAAACTGATGATCATTGTGGTCCTTTTTCAACCCAGGCCATTCTATGATTCATGTTATAATTCTATGATTTGCTGAGTAAGAGAGACGAGAATAACATGTGCTTATATCTTTGTCTTTTTCCTTTGACAGAAGCAATTTTAATTTTTATGGGAAAGATGAGGGAACAGTAAATCAACCTAATAGGATTGCTTTCCTTTCAGGGAGTAGAAACTGTAAAGAAGGAAATAGATGAAAGTGTTTTAGGGCAGACTGGTCCTTACAAACGTCCAGAGCGTCTACGGAAAAGAACAGAGTTCTCAGGCGAGAGGATTAAAGAGGAGCGAATATTTGAAGCTAATGAGTACGTATTTCATGTAACTTAGGGCAAATACTTATCAGAT